AAAATTGGATTATAGTATCCTTTATGGATCAAATATCAAATAAATTTAAACTATATAATTACTAATTCACAAATCTAGATGAGCCATGGCCACCCTAGTTAGTTTAAACTGCAGATAAATTAGTCTGAGTTTTTTTTCTTGCTATCTTAGGATATAAAATTTAAATAGATTCTTTTCTTTATAAGAATTTTCTTTTCATTATAGAAGAATTAAATTAAATTTTAATAAAGTTAGAGACATGGTCTCACCATTAATATTCAAAAAAAAAATTAGTTATCCTATGTTCCATATAACAGCATGATAGTGATTTATATCATTAATTATATTTTATTATATTATATCAGAGCTAAATTAATAACAAATTGAAAGATATAAATATAGGCAATTTTTTATTGATTGCATTTTCTCTTTTGCTTAACTTTAACAAAAAATTAAAAATGAATATTTCTAACAAAAATTTTATGATAGCTGCACAATTATATAAAGAAATCACCAACCAGAATAATGTTTTTATTGCTTTTAATAACTCTCTTGACAATGCTTCAGATAGTAAATATGAAATAAATAATAAAAGAGACTAAAACAAGATAATTGCAGCAGTTTTTTAAATAGTTTTAATAAGTTAATAATTTAAATTTTTTTTTTAGAGCTATTTTCAAAAACATTCATCAAGTAAAGTTCAATATACTATAGATTACTCAAAAGTAACAAATACCTAGCACAATACTCAAATGTGAGTAAATACTATTAACGAATATTTTACAGATTTAAATATTTCTAGTGATATTATATAAATAAAAAGTTATACCAAATTAGATAATATCTTTATAAGATTTTTTGTTGCACTAAAAAAGAGAGATGGAAAACCATATATACCTAAATCAATTTACAATTATTACTATAAGATTGCTTGTCACCTTTTAATGAATTTATATCAAGATCCTAAGCCAAATATATTTGACAAAAATTGGTTTCCTCATTTGTATACAACAATAGATAGAAAAATTAAATATGTTCAAGATATGAATCCACGATATTCAATCAAAAGTAATTCACTTACTAATGATAAAATAGTTAAAATATTGAATTATAAAAGCCTTTTACAAGATATACCAACTGCTATTACTTACTAGATTTACTTTTGGCTATGTCTTTTATGTGGATTATATGGTGAAGATATGAAACAGCTTCAGTATGATTATATAAAAGAGAGTGACCATAATAGCCTTTTAATTATTATATCTTATGAGAAGAATCATGCAGGTGGTTTAAAAAATCTTAATAATTCAGGTTATATATATTGAATACCATCTGATATGCAAACAAATTTACTCCTGTTCATGATATTTTATACTATATGTTTTGTCATGAAAAACATTTTGCATCAAAAGAATTTTTTTTGAAATATACTTCAAAAAAAGGTATTTAATTTATATTTATTTTTATTTATTTATACAATTGT